TAAGGGATGACAGGACCTGATTTATAATCAATAACAGCCTGACAAAGTTTATTGATGTTGGCAAATAAACTGAAGTTTCTATCTGGAATATATACACAGCATGAGGATCCTACTTGTTTACAAATTCCATCTTCCTTAGCAAGCACCATATCAAGAGCGAATCTGTTTTGTAAAACAGTAGTTCTCATTGCAGAGATTTCAGCTTCTATTATCTCGAATCCTATGGCAGTGGTATTGTCAGTGGTTTTAAGAAGCAGAGACAATCTTTTGCATTGTTCCCACAGCATAATAATTCCTAATTGAGGGATAAGAGAACCAAATAATCTGTTCTACCCACTGGTCAGAGATGTGGCATCTGCTAAAAGACCACACCTTTGTCAGGGAAAGGGAAAGGGTACTGTAGGGCTATGAAGGTCTTGAGGTTCCATTGATGCCAATTTTTGGAATAATCTACTTAGTGACAGTGATCCACTTAGTGACTTAATTCACTTAGTGATGGTGTCAGCGTTCAGGGAGGAGAAGCTAAAAAAACAAACAAGAAAAGGAATCGGGAGAAGATGATGACTCAGATATGAAGCAAGAGAGGGTTGAAACACAAGAGCAGTCAGTGACACACAGGTCAGAGCGATGAAACAAGGGGATTCTACCTGACAGGTATTCTGCTAGTGAAGTAAAGGTGTGTAATGTGTGGTATGAGACAAGAAACTATCAGGAACTATTGGCGGAACTTCCAGTTGTGCTTCCGTCGTGTCGGAGCAGAATCTGCAATTGTGTGCGGTTTTGCGCTGTGCTCACTTGTTGGAGGGTCCCAATCAGGACCAGAGCCACCTTGTAGGAGTGGTGAAGAAAGGGGGACCACCTGGAGGGTTGAGGGGAGCTGTATCTCTCCTCCCTGACAAAGTAAGGGAGGAGACCTCCAGAGACAAGTTGTAGTCAAAAATGGCTACCATGAAGACAGGAGGCAGTTTGGGAAACTAAGACTGTGCTAGAGTGGTGAAGTTGTGAGCGTTGTGTGAACCAGGCAAAATACATTGGAATTAAGGTACCCAGGAATTAAGAAAAAGATACTTTTTATGAAAGATTGTAGAAGCGGTGACCAGAGAGAGAGAGTGAAAAAAATTGGAAAATTGTGAAATTGGCTTTGGACTTTGAAAATAATTAATTTGGAGGTGGAAAATTCAAAGGAAAATATTGGATTACAAAAGACTTGGAAATTAAACTGGATAATTATTTAGATTTTGGCACTAAATAGACATAATTAAATGCTGGAATTGAATGTGTTAAAAAGAAATAATAGCTAATAACTGCAATTAATGAAATTAATAAAAGTTTTAAAAGGGGAAAAAGTGAAAAGAAAGGGTGAAACATGGAAATAGAACTGAGACTGCCACCTAATGGTAAAGGAAAAATTTCAGTGACTCTTTGAAAAGTGTTTGGTCTTTTTAAAATTGGAATTTGAAAGGAAATAAAAGGAATCCCATTATTTGGTGACTTTGGGAAAAACTGGAACAGAAGGAACCTGGAAACAAAGATTCAACACTAACTGTTGAAATTAAATATAAAAGATGCTGGTTGTAATAAACTACTGAACAATTGGACTGGACATAAATATTAAAGAAAGGGAAGAAAAAGAAGACCTGTACAAAATGGGAGAATTATGTGTGGAAATAAAATTGGAACTTCAAAATATGAAGGAAATGATGAAACAAAGCTTGGAAATATGCAGTATTATACTACAAATATTAGAAATGTCGATGCAGACTGAAGAACAACAAAGAGAACCAGAGGGGGGGAATTAAATAAAGAGGAAACCAGCCTTAAAGAACAAGTGGAACAATGAACATTAAAACAGGGGAAAAAAAGAATTAAAGCTAAAAACTTGAGGTTTGATGTATTAATTAAAGGGGGAATTGTTTGGAAAATTAAAGGAAAAGGAAACAGCAGAAGAGGGAATTATAGAGGAAAAATCAAGAGAGGGAGTGGGATAAAATAAATAATTGAAATAAGAAATGGAGGGAAATAATAAAGGAAAAAAGGAGAATTAAGAGAAAGGAACTGATTTTTTCCCCTAAGGATTATTATTAAACAAGATATAGATTTAATTGAAATAGATATGGAAATGGGAATTTATTATAAGTATATTAATTGATATTTAATAAAGTGATGAATAAAGTTAAAATGAGCTATGAGAATTGTAATGGAAAGATTATCAATTTCTAAAATTAATTGAATTGATTAATATTTTTGAAACTAAATAGATGATTTAGAATGTAATTAAGGAAAAGAATACCATGCAGAATCTTTCTCAAATATATATATGCATATATGATATTTAGTAGTTAGGGGATTATTGTTATTAATGTAGAATGTGATAATTAAAAAATGACTATATTATGATAAATCTTTATAAAGATTTAAACAGAATAAATTGGGGAGTGTATAAGGCAAACTCAAATTGACAATTAACGGGGACAACTTTTGGATTATTAGAATTAGGGTGAAACCTATTGAACAATAAATGGAATAATAGTATGTGATAAAATTGTAAATGTGACAGATAAAAGTAAATATGTGTAATGAATATAGAAATAAGAATCTTAGATAATATATAAAACAAGATATGGGAATATTTAAAGAAAAATGAAATAAGTTATGATATGAATTGGATAAAATAAGTGTAATGAATATAAGAATATTTGAGAATATTTAAAGGAAAATGGAATAAGTAATAATATGATATGAAATTGAATACGAAAGGTGAATATGTAACTATGGTCATGTTTGTATTGAAATGTAAAAACCTGGAACCATGTTGTTCACCAAAAGAGATGTTTTCTAAAATATAAAAATAAAAAATTTATTGGGAAAAAAAGGAAGTATGGGCATTACCCAAAACTGAACGAGTGAAGTGGAAAGAAGCTATGGACAAAGAAATGAAATCCATGGATGAACATAGTGTTCACATGGATGACTTTGCCACAGGGTTGCAAAGCTATAGGATGTAAATGGGTAAAAAAAAGAAAGCACTACCCAACAATGAGGTCCAATATAAGGCAAGATTAGTAGCACAAAGTTTTTCACAGAGGTAAAATGTGCACTATGATGAGGTATTCGCACCAACTGTAAAGAATGAAAGCTTAAGGTTGGCACCAGCGTTAGCAGCAGCACATGGTCATAAAATTTGGCATTTTGATATAACCACAGCATTCCTCAATGCAGAATTAGAGGAAGAAATTTACATGGTTCAAACACCAGGGTATGAAAATAAAAAGCCTAATACTGTGTATACATTGAACAAGGCCATTTATGAGCTGAAGCAATCAGCCAGGAATTGAAATATCTGTTTCAATAGAAATATGGCATTAAAGGGTCTTGGGTTCAAGAGTTGCAAGGTTGATGGTTACATATACTGGAAAGTGACAAGGTGGGGTTTGTCAATTATTAGCATTTGTGGATGAACTTTGTTTTATTGCAAAAGATGTGCCACAGGTAAAAGAATTTGCTAGTCAGAGAAGAAGTTTGAATTGAAAAATTTGGGTGAAATACAAAATTATTTTGGTGTAGAGATAAAAACACTGAGAAAGGTGGCTATGTTTTCAGTCAAAAGAAGAAAAATTGAACAGCTGTTGAAGAGATATAACATGAAGGATTGTAATTCTGCTCCAACACCTATGAGCACAGATTTTCATACAAATTTGGGTAAGGACAAAAGTGACGCCTGTGATCAAGAGATATATCAATCTGCAATAGGGTGCTTGTTATATCTGTCACAGTGCTCCTTACCATGCATAGCGTTGCAGTAAGCATCTTAAGTAGCTTTACTGCTGCACAATTGCATTTGGATGGGTGTAAAAAGGATTCTCAAGTATTTGAAGAAAATTGTGAATTTGGGTCTTCAAATACAGATCTCTGAAGAATTAAAGTTGAATTGTTATGTTGACAATGATTATGCCAATGATGTAAAATCCAGGGAGTCCAATTCTGGGATTGTGGTATTATTTGGAGGAGCTTTAATTGGTTGGGAAGTCCAGAAAACAAGCAACTGTAGCAATTTCTACTGTGGAGCAGAATTTATTGCTTTATCTGAACTTTGTTCAGAGGCAACTTGGTATGTACAACTGTTAAAGGATTTAAACATAAAGGTAAATGAAGCTGTAACTGTATTTGAGGATAATGCTGCTTGCATTAAAATGGCAACAGGTGACAGAGTAAAAAAAGAAGCAAGTATGTAGATATTAAATATTGTAATGCAAGAAAAGCCATCAAATATAAATTAATTAGCTTGCTTCACTGTTCTTCAGAGAACAATCTGGCAGATATAATGACCAAGCCATTGGATGGAGTGCACCATGGGAAGAATATTAAGTTATTTGGTTTTGTGTTTATTCCACTCATAAAGGGAACAGTGTCAGTGTATAAGGATTCATGAACTGGAATAGGCATGGCAACAAGTAAGCCAATGGGGACTGTTTGGTGACAGACACAAGAGTTGTTGTGTGAGCCATGCGAGACGGCTTGGAGACTAGGCATCGCTTAGCTTAACTATTCTGTGTATAAAATAGTTCATTTTGTCTTTGCTTGAGAGTTCTAATGCTTCTTGTACTTGCTACTACTTCTCTCTAGCATGTTGCAAGAGCTGCATGGATATTGTATACGTTCATCATTTTTATTATTGTATATAAAGAAATTTCTTCTATATAATGAATCCTACAGAATTATTTGTTTGTGTGCTAGCTGGATCACTACAAACTCATTATTTCCAAAATCTTAATAAGTAAAATTTGACCTCTTGAGAAAGATGAGAATTCATATTATTCTCAAAAAAATGTTTATCATGGGAAGGAAAAACTGTATGTAACATTTTGTGATCCACATTACAGTTAATCTGTAGTTATTAAAATGTATCTTAGCTTTCCTTTTTAAATAAGCAGGGTTAAAAAAAGAAAAAAATACTATATAACTTCTGCTCAAAGTGAGTTTTTTTTTTAAATTTTGTTTAGAAATCAAAGCCAAAGTATTACATCCTGTCTATGTTCCCATATCCTTCTGGAAAACTTCACATGGGCCATGTTCGAGTATACACCATAAGTGACACAGTAGCATGGTTTCAAAAAATGAGAGGATTTCAGGTACGTATTTTAGAATTTCCTTCCTTCCTTCCTCCCATTCATCCATCCATCCATCATCTGAGAATTGTTTTCATATTGATATTTAGATAAAGTTAAGAGTTTAGAGAAATTAATTCTGATTAGTTTAGGGAATTCTTTATGTAATAGCTATTGTATTAATGATGATAAACTTAAAGCATATCAATGTTAGTTGTAAATCTGGAGAGTTGATCCCAATGCATTAGTGGTACACTAAGTCATCCTCCCAACTAAGAGGGATATGGAGACACTAAAGCAGGCTGCCAGGCTGCGGCTCACTACCAGACCTTGAGCTGCTCAGAACAAGGACTGCTGAAGTGGCAGCTGATGCATGCACACACACCCCAACTTGTGTGAGGAGTGGATGAATGCATGCACGCTCTATTTGTATAAGCAGTGAGCATATGCACTTACCCATCTTTTGTACAGTCAGGAAATACATCCTTATTTTCAAGTTGAATCTCCCCCGATGAGCTTCCATCCATAGCTTCTTGTCAGGTGCTATGAAGAATAAATCAATGCCCTTTTCCCTATGGCAGTCCTTAAGTATTCTATGCTGTTATGTCTGTTCTAAAGCTTCTCTTCATTAGCTAAACATACAGTACTTAGTTCCCTTAGCTATTCAACGTATGATTTAACTCCCAGACCCCTTGACAAAAAAAATTCTCTTATATGATAAGTGGGTTGGGAGTTTGTTACAGGACAAGTTTTTAAGAGAAGCCTGTCTATACAGATTCCTTTCCCCACTTTCATTATTAACCATATACTTTTATTGAGATGGATTTTGCTGTTTGTGTATTTTACAAAAAAAGCTGCATGTACTATCATATGCTTTATAAACATAGAATTGTTCATGAATTTTATTTAACATATCAACTATATTTTTGAGCTTTGATTCAAATTCAGTAGTTTTATATAATATATCAAAATAGCAAAGAACAAATGATTCAGAAACCGGAGAACCAATAGGTGTATTCATATGTTATATTCCATATTTGTATTCCTCTATTCCTTGTTTCATTACAAGAAAATTTATAAGAAATGGCTCTCTTAATTGTGCCAAGATACATATTTTTTATTTGATGCTATCCTTACCAATTCGTTTTTCTCCCCCTTTACTGCTTTTATTGAAACTTAGTTTTGCATTTTCTTTGAATACTGGTAAATCTCTACAACTTCAGAAAAGTGCATTTTTAGGGGACTTCCAGTTTGCAGGGCTTTGGCGGCAGGCAGGAATCCACGATCGTGCACAGTTTCTGCCTGGGCTCGCTGCTGGAGCGCCCCGAGCCAGCTGGCTTTGGGGCTAAGCCACCCCATAGAGGTGGTGAAGAGGGGGGAGATTCCAGCAGGGTCGAGGAAAGCCGCATCTTTCCTCCTCAGCTGGCTAAACTCCCTTTCCCGAAGGCGGTAAGAGCGGCGGTCAGAAATGGCCGCCTCAAAGAAGCACTCATCCAGAAAAGAAAGTGCAGGAGGAAGTTAAGAAGTGAAAGTTTTGGCTGACCAGGATAAGAAGCAACAACTAAAGTATCCTGGAATTTAATTTTTAAAAAAGATACATCGCTCCCAAAGAAGATTCGGAAGCAGCTAATGAAAGTGAAAAGGGAAAGGTTTTTTTTTTTTCACTCTCCTTCCTTACGTTGACAGCGAACAGAGATGAATGAGAAATCGGAAAAACCCGCTTTGGCATCAATAGGTAATTAAACTGGATAATTAAATGTCAAGGGGACAATAAGGATTTCTGAACACTAAAAAAAAACCAACTTTTTTTTTGCTGTAAGTGGGAAGGGAGAGGAAAAGAATAAGAGCCGGATTCAGAAGGAGGAGACTGCCTGGAATTTAAAAGAATCTGATTAAATCCTAACAAGACTTCTAAAAGATACATTTTAACTGGAACTTTGTAACTAAACAGTAACCCCAGGAAGAGAAAGTGAAAAAAGAAGAAAGTGTTAAAAGAAACAGCTTGTGTGTATTTGGATTGCTTGGTGACTTTTGGACTTTTGGAATTATATTTGAATGTCTAAAAACACTTGGGTGGTTGTTTGAAAAAAAATTTTTTTTTACAATCGCATCACTTGTGGATGAACTGAAAATGGAATTTAAAAAATACAAAGAAGAGGAACAAGAAGGAAAGGGCTCTCCTGGCTCTGTTTTTCAATTCTTAGAAATGGCAATCTGTACCTACAAGAAACTACAAGTAAAGACTGTGCAACAAGAAGATTGGGACAAAGAAGAAGCCATCTTTAACGAACAAGTACTTGGGGAAGAAAGGGGAAAGGAGGGAAGGAAAATGGAGACTTTAAGACCTAAAAAAACAACCAAAAAGGGGAAAAATAAGGTGAAAAGTGGATATAATGTTAGAAAGCAACAGAAAAGGGGAACACAGAAGAGGGAAATGGAGGTGGAGAGACAAGGGGGTAAAAAGGGCAGAGAGAAGAAGCAAGGGAGGGAGGAAGGGAAGAGAAGGGAAGGGAAGAGAAGGAAGGGAAGAGAAGGTGTGGAGCAGGATGTAAAGAAACAAGACTTATTTAGAGATAATGGGTAAAAACTTAACTGAAAAAGTGATTTTGCAAAGGTACATAAGATTGTATTGTTATATTTGTATTAGAAATAATGTTAGAAAATTGGAAACAACATATGATTAAAAGTGGGATAAAATACTCAGTGTAATTCAGTGAAACTTTTGTGAACAAAATAAATGAAATAAATGAGAGAATTGAATTAGGAAGGAATGGGAACATTTTAATGACATAATGTTTTAAAATATAAGTGAAGTGGGGGGGTTTATAAGTGTTCCCATAGAAGCATGATACCTATTTGAAAAGCAATGTGTAAAATGTTTAAGATTTAAATGAATATTAATATTAACAATAGAATTGAATTGGTATGGATTGTTGTTTTAATTATATATTTATAATTTTTTCTCTTTTTAAAATATAGTGTGTAGCTTTAGAATGTACTAAGCAGAATCCAAATGGAAGTTATGTATTAAGTGTTATAAATTTAGGGGAAAGATATAAAGGCGTCATACTCCAATCAGTGATTACAGGAGAAATTTTGTTTAATGAGAAAAGATAATAGACAGCTGAAACAGGACAGACAAAGAATATAAGTATAATGATCTGAATTGAGATGAAATAAATAAAATAAAATTAAGAAAGTTAAAAGAGGGGAGAAGCTATATAGAAAATGTGGAATGGTAATAAGATATGGTATATAAAAATGAGCATGAATTTGAATTTGTGTCTATACAAAGAGATGTAACCCCTCAAGCTGCTTTCAAAAAAGATGTTTTATGTTTTTTTGTTTTGTTTGTTTATGTTTGTTTTTAAAAATCAATTAAAAAAATTTTTTTAAAAGAAAACTGCATTTTTATAAACACATTTTTATAAACAGACAAAGGAACTGAAGCAAGGATTTTCCTGAATGTAATGTGAAGTACCATGGCATATTAGTCACCATGGTAACAGAAAAATATATCTGTTTCTGAGATTAATCTATTAATTATTAGTAATTGACAGTGGACTTGAAACTATTTACATTAATTTTATTTTATGCAATACATTTATCTTATCTTAATAACCAATTCTTTCTACATTGCATTCCTAGTGAATATTTCTTTTTAAAGAATTGTTTCTTGAAAGACCATTTTAAATATAGTATTTACAGATAACTAAACATTTGGGCACAGTTAATTAGTCAGCTTTTAAAAGTTGCCATGCCTTCACTCTCCCACACATCAGATTAGGTGAACGAGAATGATATTTTCTGTCTTGTTGCCAGGCTCTATGGAGTTAATAGAAGTGCCTTGCATTGCTTATGATAAGATAAAAAGAAATCCAAATTGCACAGTATAGAAGCTTTAATAATACACATTAGTTTTACCATTTAAATTCTACCATTTAAATTTTTCAATCTAAGCAGCTTTAGAATGGGTAAACTTCAACTCTCAGAATTCATAATGTAAAAACGTTTTAAACTCTGAAATAATTAAGGGTCCAGAAGGAGCATGTAAAGTAATTTGGAAAAAATGACCAGATAACAGATCGAAAATACAAAAATGCTTTTAACCTTTTTTTAATGAAACCCTTACAGAGTTATGTAGAATTCTTAGTGCTTCCATACAAAAATTAAGGCTTAAAAGCAGGGGTGTGATTCAAATTTCTTAACAACCAGTTTTGTGGGCACAGCCTAATTTGTAGGTGTGTTGGTCATGTGACAGGGTGGGGGTGACTTTTTGACTGGGCGTGGCTTGGTTGTCATGTGACTGGCTAGGTGTGGCTAGTGGGTTATGTGACTGGGGTGGGCATGGCTAAGTGGCCATGTGACTGGCAACCAAATATAAGTGCTCTCACTTAATGGCCACTTGCTTAGCAAATGTTCTAATTTACGACTGACTTCCCCAGAGTTACTTGACCTGCTTTTTGTGTTTTGACAGCCATGAACGCACGCATGCACACACACGACATGCACATGCACACACGCACACACAGTTATGACTAGTTACAACATCCCACACAGTCTTGTGACTGAGGTTTTCTATGTTTTTTGCAAGTTTCCAACAATTCCTTCTGGTTTCTGGTTAAAAATGCTTACTGGGGAAAATGGACTTGTTTAACAACCACAGTGTTTGCTTAATGACCACAAGGTTCATTTAGTGACCATGGTTTTTGCCTAACCTGGGGTCTGCAACCTTAAACACTCAAAGAACCATTTTTCTATTTTCTTTTAAACAGGTATCTCTCTCTCTGTTTCTCTCTTTCTCATCTCTTTTTCTTTCTTCCTTTTTCTTTCTCTCTCTCTCATCTCTCTCTGTCTTTTGTTCTCGCTCTTTCCCTCCCTCCCTATCTCTATCTCTATCTCTTTCTATGTCTTGTCTTTCTTTCTGTGTGTGTATGTGTGTGTGTGTTGTCTCTCTCTCTCTCTCTTTCCCTTCCTCCCCCTCTCTCTGTGTCTCTCTCTTTCCCTCCCTCCCTTTCTCTTTC